CTCCCCCAGCGGATCGCTGGTGGACGGTTGATCTCTACACAGACGGTACGTGACGTACTTTGGCGTTTTGGAAGATCGATACTGACCGTCAGTCAAGACATCGACCGAGAATTGAGAGCGGCGTTGGTGGATGAATATTCCAATCAGAAGAAGCCGACCGATGGGGAAGTCTATCGCAAGATCAGACAGTATGAGGGCGAGGGCAATGAAGCTTTTCGAGAGCGATGGTTCGTGAGACTATCGCCCAGCAATCAAGAGCGCTTGGATCAACTTGACAATAAGAAGAACCGTCGCCTCCGGCATGCATTTGACCGATTGTTGGTGATTCCCGGGGTTTGGCCGGGTGGGATGAGAATCAGCCTCCTTCATCGATTGATCGCTTCGGGCTGCGTTGAGGTGAGCTTCAGCCCAAGTTGCTACATTTTTTCTAGCTAATGACGACTCTTCGTCTCTCAGGAGATAGGAACCTATTTCGGTCACATCTTGGACTTCTGGTCTTCTCTGGTAGGGTCGGATCTGCGTCTGATGAAGAAAATCGATCAAGACACGATTCAAACGCTGCATTTACTGGCACCAGGTAAATCACGCACTGATGAGAGGAAGGCATGTGGGCTGGTTCTCAGTGGACATGTGTTTGCCGAATTCAGTGCCGATGAGCGAAATGCTATATGCGCCAAAATGAAAGATTTTGATGGTCTCATCCCGTCCTTATACACTTTCTTTGAGGATTTCAAGTATCTAGAGAGTTGCGCTCACTGTCTGAAGCGGCTCTTAGGTCCATCACCCCGATCTGTGAGGGAGGCCATGAGCTCGATCTTTGATCCAGACTCGGAGTCTGGGGAAGGTCACCGAGAGAAAAGGAAATGTATCATTCAGACCTCGGAGTCTACCTTCCGACACCTTCATGCATCCGAGACAGAATGCCTCGAGACAGGATACCAGCAATTATGGCTGTATGCTATGCGACATTATCCACTGATGCCCCCGGACCCCAAGAACTCTGATGATCTGTTGGCCAACCCCACTCGCGCTAAGCCGGACCCGCGCGCGATCTACGACATGGCCCATCTAGCTCATCGGCTCGGCTTTAGGTCCCCAGAAATTGATGGGCTGCTGAACAGTTCTCCGGATCACCAAATTGCACGATCGGCCCTTCTCCAGGCCCGGAAGCCAGGCCGGTATAGATACGATAACCAGCACTTTGATATTCTGGTGCGCCGGATTGTAGCTTGTTTTACTGAAGCTGTGCCCGATCGGCCCGGTCCCCGCGAGATCTTTTGGCAGACAGCACCGTCAAGGCGCACGCTCGCTCTGGGGTTCCGCAAACCCGCACCCATGTTCAAGATGCCCCTTTGTTATTCTTAGATCGACTGCATGCTGATATCGATGCCGCCGATACAATCACTAGCTTTTTTGTTCGGCGTTGTGTCTTTTTCGCCTTTTTGGGGAAGTCATCAAGGGTGGGGCCAAGCTCCACCACAGAGAATGGTGGTATGAATGCAGACACAGAGGCGGAGGGGATGCTACAGTCGCCATTGTTTATCGAATGCCACGACCCAATGGATGGATCTGCACACCACATGGATACATCAGGCAGGTCATCCCTTCTTCGAAAAAGCAATTTCCCTACACACCAACTGGTTTCCTGTGAGACGGAAGGCTCAGAAGTTGCACCTGAGCCGATGGACTTAGATCGGATAAGTCCTTCAGGTGGAGATCACACCACTCTCAGACGGACACATGACGAATCGGTGCTGGGAACGGATCTTTCTCGCTGCTCACCCAGAGCTGAGCTAGCCCTTGAAGATGCTGGAAGCGAATGTACTCAGATCTCGTTGGAGACAGTCTCGCTTCAATGGGATCAGGACGAAAGAGCGACAGAAGAGGAGCTCAACCCACACACTGCGTCTGTGCCCGAAAGCGCTGCTCAGTCATTCACCAATCCTACGTCACAGCGACGGTCTTCATCAGAGACGGTAATCCTGTCAGAAGAAAGCCGTCCCCCCTATGCCAGAAGAGCTGGAGGCTTTCCTTCATGGTCTCACAAGGGCCCAATCAGAGCAGGAGGAGCTAGAAGAAAGGATGGAGAGTGACCGGCTCAACGAAGAGCTCAGTCTACTCCATCATAAGCAAACTGAGCCTGAAGACCTAATTGTGCCAGATAATACCCACAACTCTCTGGCAACCTCGGGTGATCGCCTGGCGGAGGTAATACACAGAGACACCGAACACATTACAGCACAAGATACTGATCCCAAAAGCCAGGCATCTACACAAGAGCTGATTGAGATCAAGTTCTGGTCACTTGAACGAGGTCAGTGGCATCAATCAGATTGTCTCCTCGTAGACCCGTCCGACTCCTCACCCATGGAGCGGCTCGCACGAAAGTACTCCTGTAAAGGATTCACCCTCTACGATGTGAGCCTCAAAAGCCTTCGTCCAGCCAATTGTTACCGCGCAGCAACAGCGGATGATACTAATGCGGTATTCTTGATTTCCGCAGATGAAGAGAAAGCCATTGTGGCTGCGGAAGGATCAAGGAAGGGGGAAAAACTGATTTCAATGGCCGCTCGCGTTGTGGGACGTGCAGGAGAGCGATGAAGCAGCTTGCCCGGCAGTAGAATCAGGAGCTTCATGTGAATCTTTGACTCCTAAGAGTTTCTTCTTGGGGAGCAGATGAGCACGAGAACTTTCTTCTGAGAGAGCTCTGTTTCTAGGCCAAGCCTCCTAGAAGGCACTTGTTCTTGTGAAGCGCTGCCAACTAAGAGAACATCGACTGAGCATACAAATCTACACGCAGTGCGGACAGGTTTGTAAAGAAAACTGCCTTTGGAATATAATGTTTTATACAAACCAACAGCTTCACAACAGCTTCACAATAGCAACCTTCACACTAGCAAACAGAAGAATGCCAGACAGGAATTGATGCTAGTGGAAGCAGAAAATAGAACATCTCAACAATATGATATAAAAGTATATTGGTGGCCAAGTGCACATACCGATTTATCTTTATGATGTTGAGTGTCACAAATTTACCACCGAATTGATCAATGATCATCGTTGATAACAAGGCTTTCTGTTGACACAGTATATGATAAAGCTTTTGCCACCGTTGGCACCATCTGAGTAGTCGTGCGAATGCCGGAGAAAAGCTTTGATCACGCGTTTCAACGTTCACCGCTAACCTTTAGCTAAGAACCATTCCTCTGAGACAAAATATGGCTAATTTTCGTACAGGTAACTGTTGATCTTTGAATGTTGGGACAAAGCTGTTGATCTACACGAAAATATACAGTCATGTTGGAAAAACACTCAATATAGTTCATCAGCAACGGAAGACTGGTTTAGCTATGAGCAGCAGCAAGAATTTGACTGTGCAGTATGCAACAGGTCAAATTGGAGTGTTAATTTTCTTGGATTTCTCTCCAGTCACCGGTAATTGTTGCAACTGTGCAGATTATGACGCAGCTCACAGCTTTTCAGAGAAACTGAAAGTCTCATCACCAAGAGAGCTGCTATCGTGGCAGTAAACCCAAAAAATTCCAGCCCTTATCATCTTTCCTGACTCCCTGTAAACACTATTGAAAGCACAATATCGATGTCAGCTACTGATTACTTCTAGAAGTAACGCAACCTACATATCAATACGTCAACCTCGGTCTTAGCCTCTGCCAACATACTTTGTTGCTGGAATGAGGCTGGACTCATCGTTGTGATTGAATGGGAAAAGACACACCAGCTCACCTTGGCGTAATTGCAAAGAGTGCTCCTACTAGGTACAGTAGTTTTCGCATTCAGTTTGACCTCACACACTTTCGACTTGATTCCCGGAAAATAAATCCGAAATATGCGAGTTCTGATTGGATATTATTTTAAGCACTTTTATCTAGACCGCTTTCTATAATAGTCAATGTACTTTACAGTACATCCTCAGTACCATAAGTGGTGTATTTTACACGAAATTAACAGAACAAACAGGACCTCTCTTCCTTTCGTGACAATCAGGACCTTCATGCACAAGGCTTCCTGCTTACCGTTATTAGTGCAGGCGACATCTCTCCAAGACTCTCGCCTTCAAAGCTTGTTCTCATCCGTGATATGATAGAGACCAAATCTTTCTGCACATTTGAAATGGCTGAACAGGCTGAATGTAGCAAGCAGACTATCATCAGTCTCCTCCGCAACAACTTGCGACAATTTGGAAGCTTATACGCACCACAAACCCGAGTAGGATGAAAATGAACTGTGACGCCCCTGATAATCGAAGCCCTCTCTGATCACCTATATGAAAACCCGGCCTCTACCTCGATGAAATGGTTGTATTCCTATGGGATGAGTTTCAGGCCATGGTTACAACCTCCAGCATCAGAAGAGCCCTTGTCGCAAAAGGTTGGTCTAAAAAGACTGCACAGAGACGTGCTAGAGAACAAAATGCCGATTTGTGAGACTATTATCTGCATAATATCTCAGATTTTAAATTGTACCACCTAGTCTATGTTGATGAATCTGAATGTGATAACCGTGTTGGGTTCACCGGTCGGAGCGACTTGAACAAATGTGTGCTGGCGCAGGGGTGAAACTGGTCTATCTGTCACTGTATTCGCCGGGCCTGATGCGTGTTACGTAGATTATGTAGATTACATGGTAATTAAGCTAGTTGTTTACTTTCAAGAGTGTATTCGCTTATTAGCTAGAAACGATTGACCTCGATACCCCACCTGGTAAACAATCTCCCGCGAGAGGCCTATCCAAGTTATACTCGGCATAAAGGTTTTCCGAGATTCTCGGCCTCTAGAAGTAGAAGCCGGTCGTCCTCGGGACCAAAACGGAAGCCACGACCATTGTCTTTCAAAATCCTGACTCTTCCTTGCAAATTTCCTTGCTACCGAGAATTTCGGTTTCACGATGCCAACTCAAAATAAGAAGCTCCGAATTGCGAGCCTTGGAAGTTCATTTGCTGCTGGTCCCGGCGTCCCCCGCAAATCGAACCACGCGCTGCTATGCGATCAGGGCAGAATTACCCTCATCTCCTCGCGCAGCAGCTGAACGCTGAGCTCACCGACCTAACTGTTTCCGGGGCAACTCTTCTTAACATAACAGTCGACCCACAAACGGTCCTGTTCTCCAAAGAAACCTTCCCGGTCCAAATCTCCAATCTGCCGGAAGATGCGGATATAATCACCATTACTGCCGGTGGCAACGACATCAACTATATCGGTGGCATGCTTTACGATGCTTGGGTTGCGACATTACCGGGAGCAATCCTCAATACCATTATCCAAGGTGTAAGGACGTTAACATCGGCTGTTTCTTCCCAACCACCAGCGCAAACGTCTGACCCGTTATCCCCAAGTGAGATGGCTGTAAGACTAGGCGGGGTCCTTGATGAGATACACAAACGAGCCCCAAGAGCTCGTATTTTTGTCGTCGAATATCTCGCTGTTCTAGGACCTGATACACGACCTGGTCAGGATATTCCCTTCAATCAAGAGAAACTAGAACATCATCGCGGAGTTGCCTCTGCACTGCAACAAGCATATGCAGTTGCAGCGGAAGGTAGGGGGAACTGGTGTGAGAGAGTACCAGTCTACGAACTCAGCCTGGGACATGCACTTGGCAGCAAAGAACCATGGGTTGGAGGATTTGACCTTGCATCAGTGGTTCGACGCGGCCCCATCTTTCACCCGAATCTCGATGGCATGAAGGCAGTGGCAAGTCTTCTACTCGGAAGAGTCCAAAATGATAGATCCTAGTCGAAGGAGGGATTCGGTTACTCGAAGAAGTAATCGCACAAGACTTGTACCATCCGCGGTGTGGTACTTCCTCTCTAACAGATACAATTCGTGGTAAATGGACGTTTTCCATCTGTCGCAAGTTCCTGCGAAGATATTTTGATCGTGCCCCCATACATTCGACTGCGTTAACCGTTTGAGATCTGCTTGGTGGCTGGATTTGTTTCATATAGACGAAGCGGAATTTTGAGGGGTGTATCCTGAGTATACAAATTATTAGCAACTATTCAAGTACAAAACCTGGTGTGCGGTTGATTCTTTATCATAACGACCGATATCACACCATCCAATTTGATCAGTGATTCAACACGTTCGCCTAGAAAACGCCGTAACGTATCAAACAAGCCTCGTCCAGTCTAAAGTATTTCGTATATGGGAATCGCTTTCTTGACTTGCTTAGCCCACTTTCCGATGTATTTCAACGAAACGTCGAGCGTTGCCTATTCTATTCCTTTCTCAATGAAGAATTTTGGGTCCTAGTCTTTGTCGACCTGCTCAAGGTCGAGTCAAATTCGACATTCGACATCTGCCACTCACCGTACTCCGTCACGTCTACATCGCCAGGGATTTCCAATGAACTTACGGCCATCGGTTCAACCGCGGCCTTCAGGATCGAGACGTCTTGCCCTTGGGTAGAAGACTGAGAGGGTAGAATATTGATGATATTGCAAGGAGGATACAGTACTTCAGTTCTAATGACATGATCAGCTTTGCGCTTGTGTTTCCCTATTCTCTCTTGTCTCACTTGTTCTTCTCTGCATAAACAGGCGGCAAAAGCGGGCAGACGATCTTGCCAGATCGCCAGATCTACCAAGGGGTTCTAGGGGATTCGAAGTGCCCTGAAACGAGGAACGAGTGGAGGGGTTTACTACCCTGCGCGAGCTGTCCGCAAACCTACGCTGCTCTCCCACTATCTAACTTCACACGCATCTCGCCAGTGATTGGTCCGTTTCTTGCCAAGTAATACTGTTATTGGTTGCTTCACCTCGTTCTGTTTGGTTGTCTGTCTCTCCAGGCTTCTCTCGTGATTGCTTGTCTGCTGCTTGTCTCTCTTTCCTCCTTAGGCTTAGTGCCCCGATATATGTGTTAGTGCCTCTGTTGCTTTTTCCCAATATCAGGGGACCCTGGACAATAAATATGTCTTTGTGCTTTCCTATATTCCTATTGCGCCTCGGTTGCTTTTTCTTTGTGTCTGGGGATCCTGGTCCTTCCACCACCCTTATGATTCGACGCAACGCGAACAGACACTTCTCTATGTTGGAGGCGAAGGCGGCACCGGGAAGAGCCAGATTGTCAACGCAATTATCGCTGGTATGAGCCTTATCGGAAGGAAAGACGAGGTGATCCTTATGGCGCCAACTGGTGCGGCAGCTGATAATATTGGCGGGAATACGTACCACACATCTTTAGGTATCTCCATCGACCGTTCACGCGGAACCGCGATGAAGGCAAGAGTGAGACGGCTTTGGTCCCGCAAGACCATCATGTTTGTGGACGAAGTCAGTATGATGGATCTGACCATGATCAGCGTGATTGACAAGCACTGCAAAATCGCAAAGTCTCTGGACAGATCCTCTCCTGATATTTTCGGTGGACTGCCTGTAGTAATCTTTATTGGCGACTTTTTCCAGTTTCCACCTGTTCGGGGTCCGGCACTATGGAAAGATCCAAGAAGGGGGACGGGTGAGGAAGAAAACGGTCGGCTCCTCTGGCACCAGTTCAAGCAGGTAATCATCTTAGATGAGCAGATGAGACAGTCAGAAGATGCTCCATTTCGTGACCTCCTATCACGAGCGAGGACAGGGACTCTAACTGACGCCGATCGATCCGTCCTTAACAGCAAAGCCATCACATCCCTCGTCAGCCCTCAATTAGAAGATGCCACCACTGTTGTCAAGCTAAACTCTCTGCGTCACCAGGTAAATCGTACCCGAATAGAGCAATTCGCACGGACACGGTGCCAAAACGTCTATCTATTTCCTGCACTTCATACGCGGACCAGGTCCACTGGCCCAATCAACCTACGACTTCGTGCAGACGACTTACTCCAGCAACCGGACCAAGGCACCAAGATCACTTTCCCGGGACTTTTGATGTATACCCCGAATATGCCCGCCGTTATACTCACAAACATTTGTACTCTGCTCGGCCTGGTAAATGGTGCAGCAGGGACTGCTGTAGGAATCATTGTAGATCCGGCCGGTATCTTGATCCTTGCCAAACAGTTATGAAACCATCTGCCTGACATTTCCCCTTTAGCTGAATTCTTTGAGATCGACGATCTCTATATCATGTGCACCAAACCTCCTCTCTGCATTTTATTCAAACCAGACAGACCAAAGCCCAGTGGATTTCAAGACCTTGAACCTTCAGTCATACCAGTCTTTCCATTGGAGCGATCTATTACCCTAAAAGGTTATTCAGTACGACGAAAGCAGGTCCCCATGTGCCCGGCTTTCTGCCTCACCGACTACAAAGTACAAGGCTCAACACTTAAAGCTGCGATCCTCGACCTTAAAGATGACCCTACTATCCGAGGCCAGGACCGCCATCGGAAGTATTGCTTGATATATGTGCAGCTATCTCGACTGCGCTCCTCTAAAGGCCTTCATCTCCTGCAGAAACTGGACATGCAAGACCTGCGGTTCGATCCTGATCCCCGACTACTAACCGAAATGAAAAGATTCCAGGACCTCGCAAAAGAGACGATTGCTGCATGGCGTGAAGCTTCAAACAAATGAGGCTTTGCTCTATCATAATATAATAGTTTCTGCAACGAATAATGCAACGAATAAAATTAAAGGCACTCAGTTCAGACCTAAGACTCACTTGTCAGACGAATACTTGTAGCAATTTATGGTAAGAGGCCCATTCCTCATGGATAATTAACTTTAAAGATATATTTCTGCGTCCAAGTTGAACCAATCACCAGTCCCGCCACATGGTCCTATATGACTTGGCAGGCATATAACTGGCTCATCCTCTTATTACTGCATTCGTCGCACCGTATCAGGAACGAGCGTTCAGCTTCGTGTTATCTCTTCAAATCTAGTTCAATTTTCACCCGTTTCGTTTCAGGGCCACAGCGTGCGAAAGCGCGCGTCACCAGTATAAAAACACAGCGAGAACCACACACCCTCCTCTCTGCCAAGCCTCTCTCTCATTGGAGTTTGGTTGGATCCCAGGTCACGTTCCTTTCTTCTCCTGTTCGGCTGTCTCCGTTCGTCTTCGCTCTCCTGCCCTACTGCCGTCTCGCGTGCTCTGCAGGGTTCATCCTTGCATATTATGTCGTGCAACCCTCCATAGAATCTTGGACCTTCCACGTTCACTACTGCTTTTTGTGAATCTCCGTTTTGAAATATAGTTCTGGTCCTATTATTTGTTCTCTATACATACGTAATTCCCGTCTCCGTTGTTCACCGCTATGTCTTATCTATCTCTAGTAATCTTTATATTCAAATGCTCTGATGCCCCGCCCTCTGTACACGCCGTTTTCTTTGCCTTCCTATACATTTCTCTTCTTGCGTTCCCGACGTGCTCCACTCCTATGGCCTTATCTTCGCCACAAGCTTGCAATGCTCCTCATGTAAACGGCCCAAGCAGTCGCTCCTATATAAAACGTGCGAGGCCTGTCGCCTAAAATGCCGCCGCCACTGGCGCCGTCATCGTCCTGCGGCTGCTGAGGCTTCAGGCGCCACTTCTATACAGTCTATAGAACTCTCTATAGTTCTAGTCCCGCCATCTCACCAAGAGATCTGCTCTCAATTTTATCGTCCGTGGCAATCTCCACGGTATAAAACATGCGATAGGTGTCGCCTAAGCTGTCGCCAGAAATACCCCAGCCGCTTGATCCCCACTACTGCCACTGAAGGGGCCTCTCTATACCCCTCTGATACCGTGAGAGGCGGATTTCCTAGGCTCGGTTCATCGGCTGCTAATGTGACCCGCCGACTGCGCCCGCTTCCACGACCCCATACTCGGAGGCAAGGAGGCATAGGCGCTCAGCCTCCTGATGACGCTTTAAATAAGGCTGTTAGCATTTTGCGTGCTGAATACGAGCGTCATGCGACCGCTAGTCATTTCTTCCCACCAGAAATAACGCCCTCTGTTATACGAAAATCGGTTTTTAGGTATGAGGAAATGACCTCAAATGCTTCAAAAAGATCGGCTTGTGGTTCTTGCGGTAGACTCGTTCCAACATCTGATATCTTCGCCGTTGATGGTGGGGACCCTTTACTCCTACCTCTCGGCGGTGCTCTCGATCGCTGTGCCCAGCATGAGCGTATCTGGGATATATGCTTGTCGTGCCACCAAGCCCTTATCCGAGGCGTCGTCCCTAAATTCTCTGCAGAAAACCTCGTCAATGTGACTCTCTGCCAGGACTACCCGTCCGTACTAGATGATCTAACTCTGACTGAGGAGTGCGTCATTGCAAGGTGTCACCCTCTGGGAGTCATTGTCAAACTGCGTCCCGGTGGCCGGCGATCTTCTATCAGCCATCGTGCACTGCGAGGTCATTTTATTGTTATTCCGCAGGACCCTGGTCCACTACTTCAAATTCTGCCAAGCCCAGACTTGAGATTAGATAGCCTGATCAAGGTTTTCTGGCTAGGTGATCGGCCGCCAACGTATGAGGATCTGAGTCCGTTTCTTGTTATTCGTAGAGTCAAAGTTCTGGCTGCCTTGCAATATCTCGCTCGACATAATCATCTGTATCAAAGATTGACCATTAACCAATCGACGATAGATAGTTGGAGTGACGAATTCATCCCACCGGAGCTACAGGATAGTATTATCCGCCTTGACCGACCGGACCATCATGAACGGGAAGGATACACGGTTGGTCTCGTACAGGGTAACTACGAGAATGACCTCCAAGCAGCACAAAATGAAAGCTTTGATTCAACGACT